TATCATGGAACTAGGCAAGCCGACATACTCCCAAACAATTCGATGTTTCATTAAAATATAGATAAATAGCCTTTTTCATACTGGAATTTCGTAAGAAGATTAATTCAAAAACCAAAAATGCGGAAATAAAAGCCCGACCTCGGGTGTCACTAAGTCATGAGCAAATACTAGCACTGTTCTGAGATATAACAAGACTAACACAGTCTGAGAGTAGCCAAAATACACTAAAAGCAAGATAAAGAAGGAGAAAGGCAGGACTGCGATCGCCAGGCAGCTACCTCGCTATCTCTGATGAAAGTCCACGACTGGAATAGTCAACAGCCGTCGTGCCCTGAGATACCTGGATATGCACACAAGGTGCATGGGGTAATATGAGTATACCAACTCAGTAAGTAACAAGTCCAAACTATGGACTGATGGGTAGTGACGAACTAAACCTTAACAGGTAAAACACAATTAAACTGTATAGTAAAGTAGGCATGCTTGCAATTCAAGTATTCAGCTCAACAGTAAAGTAAATACCAATATGAACAATGTGAAGTATAAAGCTCAGCTAATCTCTACGTGCCAATGCACAAAAGCATGAAAAATGTACCATGTACCTCCACTCTAAAGTGCTCAACCACTCAGTACTGTTTATGGCCATCAGGTCCGTGGAAAATCTATCCCGGAATATATACACATTGCTGACAACAGTCACTCAGTACCGAGGAAGGCCATTCCAGCCCTATGGAGAAGATCCATCTCCAAGTAAAAATACTTCGGACAAGATCCATGTCCAGTGAAGATCCATCCTCAAAATATCAACTGCGCTCGCTGGGGGTGTGTTACAGACTCCGGAGGGGCTCCTACAGCGCAAGCGCTATCATAATCATCAACATAACCGCTGCGGCGTGAAGCCCGATCCCATAACTCTCACTCATAATCAGGCTCTCAGCCTCACTCAGTCATCACTCTCCAGTCTCACACACATGAGCTCACAATGCCATGAAACTAGCTCGAAACAATGATATCATGTGCCAAATAATAACAACCAAGACTGAGACATGATATGATATGCATGAATAAGACTGAGTACCGAATATCAATAAAACTAATGAGATGACATCAAGAAACGACCACTCGGGTCTCAACAGTATCGGCGTGAAGCCCTAGCATGATAATTAGCATGTTTTACAGCTCATTTACTTAATCACATAATAGAAACACGGATACCAGCAAGAAAAAGTCACTAAGCAGTGCCATGGAATGAACCAGGCCACAATGCTCACGGTGCACGCCCACACGCCTGTCACTTGGCATTTGCGTCACCTTAGTACTAATCACATAATACATAGTTCGGGATTTTGAACCCTCAAAACCAAGTTTGGAAGCGTTACTTACCTCAAGCCAAGCCAAATCCTACTCCGCAACGCCCTTGCCCCTGGAATCGGTCTCCAAACATCCCGAATCTAACCAAAAGCAATACAATGCACTCAATATAGGCCGAGGAACCAAATTCTACACGAAAAACTATCAATTTAGACCAAAATCCCGAAATTCACCCAAACCCGGCCCCCGGGCCCACATCTCGGAATCCGACAAAAATCACAAAACTAGACAGCCCTTTCACTCACGAGTCTATCCATACCAAATTCATCAAAATCTGACATCAAATGGTCCCTCAAATCCCCAAATCAAACTCTTCAATTTCCAAGCCCTAACCCCTCATTTTTACCCCTAATCTTCACATTCATGATTAAACAATGGGAAATCATCACATATACGAGTATTAGGGCTCAAGCAAACCTTGAATTCCTCCTCAAAATTGCTCTCAAAAGCTCCAAGGCCGACTAAAAATGGTGGAAGATAACCCAAATTTTGGCGAAGTCCACCTTTTATACATTCTGCCCAGTACTTCTACATCTGCGGTCCCATGTCGCTTCTGCGACGCCGAACCTGCGGAAAGTCCATCGCAGGTGCGGTTCTCACTTAAATTCCAGAATCCGCTTCTGCAGACCAATCCTCGCACCTGCGGCCTCGTAGGTGCGCTCCAGGCATCGCACTTGCGGTTCTTGCCCTCCTTTGCCCGCTTCTGGAGCTGCTTTTCCGCTTCTCCGGTCCCCACTCCGCATGTGCGATTATGACAGCTGAATGAAAACTTCAGCACTCCTCAAATTCCAACCTTGATCCGTCAACCCCCCGAAATCAACCTAAGGCCCTCGGGACCTCTACCAAACATACCAACAAGTCACATATCAACATACAAACTTAGTCGAACCTTTGGAACACTCAAAACAACAACAAAACACCAAATCACCCTCGAATTCAAGCTTAAGAACTTCTAAACTTCTAAATTCTGCAAATGACGCCAAATCCTACTAAATCACCTCCGAATGACCTGAAATTTTGCACACATATCACGATAATGCCACGGACCTGCTCTAACTTCCGGAATTCCATTCCGACCTTGATATCAAAATTTTCACTGCCGACCAAAAAATTGCCAAATTTCCAATTTCGCCAATTCAAGCCTAATTCTACCACGGACCTCCAAATTACATTCCGGACGCGCTCCCAAGTCCAAAATCACCTAACGGAGCTAACCGAACCATCAAAATTTACATCCGAGATCATTTACGTATAAGTCAACATCCGATTGACTTTTCCAACTTAAACTTTTAAATAGGAGACTAAGTGACTCATTCCACACCGAAGCCACTCCATACCCAAACCAACCAACACGATACGATGAAATAAAGCTGAGGAACACATGAGGAAGCAGAAATGGGGAAAATGGGGCTATAACTCATGAAATGACCGGGCGGGTCGTTACATAATGACATGTATGTGTTGAGTGTAGTATTCTATCTTTATGTTCTCCGTGTCTTGTGTTTTTATTTTTTTACTAAATTTAAGTTATGTTAAGTTGCTATGTTTGTGTTTGTGTTGTAGTATTAAAATAACGAAGAACTGGAGAAATTATAACATGATGCACATATAATGTAAACAATAAAAATAGTTTTCATTATTTACTAATTGTCATATGTACATAAAATAAAATAAAAATCAATGTGTCCCACATCCTTTATGCTTTAAAGCAGCCGTTGGCCTCAGGCGCATCCCATCCCGCCCAGAAACACTTTCAGGATCATCCTCATCATGATGCCTCTTTATCGGAGGATGATCTGCAGCATGATCGTCAGTAAGGCTGGCAGGCTCGGTAGAAGTGGCCGTCGGTGTAGTAGTAACCTACAAAATAATGACATATATTAGTATATGAAATATATGACAATAAAGTAAGGATTGACTACATAAAAATAATTAAAATGTCTTACCACGGCCGCAGCGGGCTCCTGAATATACTCATCCGTCTCAGGTATGTGAGTGTCGCACCTAGTGGGCTCTGCGACGGGCGAGGATGATGGCTTAAAAAATGCTTTATATATTTATGAATAATCAATGAGATAAACACAAAAATTAAGTAATAGTAATACAAACGAATCAAATCGTGTGGAAGATCCTCAGCATCCCCCGGTGGTGAGCCATAACTAAGTCGGGCCCACTATCCACATCTCGTACAAGACGAGCATCAGCAACCGTCGATGCCTCTGGAAGGTCAGGAAAATACGCACCCTAGTCCTGTGAGGTAAAGGCCATGCCTGCGATCAACAATGGAGCTGACTGGGTCACCTGTGAAGTCCTTGGAGTAAGCCCCAGGCTAAATGACGGGATATCGCTAGGATCAGGGTGGTCACCCGGCTGATCAACTCCAACATCCTCAACAGGTGCCTCAACACCCCCTTGCTGGGGACTACCTCTTCGCCAACCCCCACCTCCTCGCCGACCACCACGACCTCATGGGACACCCCTACCTCGTGGGACAGCCCTATATCGGGGCACACCCCCGCCTCATGGCACACCTCTACCACATCGACCACGCTCAGGCTGCACTGCTGGCCCCGGATGGTACTGCTCCGGCGCCATATAATCAGCCTCGTGTGCTAAGCGCTCGCTATGCCGGGCTCGCTGCAATGTTCGGGCAGCCAAATCTGTATCCTGCCGGCCATAGTCGTGCAAAGCGGCCGCTCCCTCGCCGGCTGCAATCCCAACTGGTGGAACATATGTAGTCCAATAATCTGCACAACATGTAAATATTAATTGTGAAACGGTAATGTTAACGTTATAACTAAAATTCATTAAACGGTAATGTTACCAAATAACATACCAGCGCCTCATGCCTCCCTGCCTATGGAACGAATCAACCGCTAGCGCAATGAACGGGATTCCCAATGATAAGCCGGGTCCTACTGCAATACCAGCCGATATACGCATGCGCATCATCCATAAGATGGGCTGGAGGGGGTGGTGGAACTAGGTCATGCCGTTGGTCCCAACTCTCGATCTGTGCCTCTAGCCATGCCTCATATGCCTGCTCAACCTTCGAACGATCATCCTGCTAGTAATGAGTCCTAACCCAAGCGAGCGGTGGAGGTACATGCTGCGGTCGACCAAACTGGCGAAGGACTCGCTCGGTGGCATGATGCTCGATAATATCGAGACATACCAACGGGACAAAAGAGCTCTACATAAGTCGCCCGATCGAGAAATAATCGGGCAAACTAGCTATAAGCGCGTCGTTGTAGGGCGTCCAAATGAACTATCACGTAAAGACAGGAACCGTGAGTATACGCAACACATATAAATCCAGGCCAAGTAAACTTAAGTATAGAATTACCTGCGCGTCCTCCAGCAAATCTAACAAATCTCTGCAATACGGGAGATTATATCGAGCCTCGTACTCGCGTATCCCCGCCTCTTAACCCACCTCCTACCCAATGGGAGAAACGATGGAGGTGGTGCATCCTGAGCTATGGTGGTAGAAGTGGCTGCAATTGCAGGAACCGCTCCCAGGCCCAAACCTAATATACAATTTGGACGTAAAATTTAAGGTATATTTATATGATGTATGTGATAATGAAGAGAGTATTTGTCTATGTTTTCACCTGCAGACGCATAAATCATGCAACGTATCGCTGGGTGCCCATGTATGGTCGGCACATCTGCCGGTACAAGTAACCAAGAACAGCAGCACCCCAGCAATACTGAGGTAAATCATCTAGCAGCTCAAGATAATGAAGAAATCTCAAGCTGACTAGGTTTCCCGAAGTGTTCGGGAACAATACGCCTCCAAACATAAGCAGCAACAACGACCTCGTGTACCACCTAATATGAAGCGCCGGTGTATCATGATCAATGTCATCATGGATGGCCTCCAAATACTGCCAGATGGGCATCAACGAAATACGACTAGCCCCAACAAATACACCCTCATCCTCTGGCCGGAAACCGGTGAGCCACTGCAAAGTCTCCAGGTACTGAGCTCCCGTATAATCTCTCATGGCTCGCGGCAAAGCAATAGCAAGTCCATCAACCGGCAGCCCATAAAGGACCTCCACGTCCTGCAGCGTGATAGTGGCCTCGCCAATGGGGAAATGAAATGTGTGCGTCTCTGGTCGCCACCGCTCTATCAAAGCCGTGAGCAATTACCAATCCAACTGCAACCAGCCGATCTCAATGATCCTATAAAATCCCATATCCTGCAGGAGTTTGACTACACGGGGATGGAGCTGGCGTTCCTTAAGAAAGTCCCAGACATCGTCTATCCTCCTAAAACGTAAAGTCTGGGCCAATAACTCCCCCTCCCATATGTAGGAAGACCTATGCTCGGCCTGTAGCTATAGTAGCTCTAGGGACTGAGGTCCCGGATGCAAAGGCGGAACCTCCATGGCGACTACTGTAAATTGAACAAAATTAATTATATTATTTTTCTTTTCCACTACTTAAATATATTGCAATACCTTGAATGTTAAATTTTATTCGATATTTTTACTATATTGTTAATTAGGTTGATACATTTTCAATATTATACTTTTATTTTTTATACATTACTTTAATATGTTAGTTTTATTATTTTATATGTTTGTTAGTTATTCACCTTTTTTTAATATACACGATTTAATTATTAAATATTCACATTTTGGTTTCGGACACAATATTTGAGGCCCAGTAGCACCAATGTATCCTTAATTCTTATGTTCATGACGAGAAATTTTCCGATTATTGACTCAACATGTCTGTTATTTTATATGTGATTTTATTATTGTATATGTTAGTTTTATTCTTTAATATGTTAGTTTATTAGTGTATATCTTAGTTTTATTATTTAATATGTTAGTTTAATTACTTAATATGTTAGTTTATTATTGTATATGTTAGTTTTATTATTTGATATGTTAGTTTTATTATTTAATATGTTAGTTTTATTATTTTATGTGTTAGTTTTATTATTTAATATGTTAGCTTTATTATTAATATGTTACTTTATTATTGTATATGTTTGTTTGTTTATTATTGACTTATTTTTTACTATACTAAAATTAAATAATTAACTTTCATAACTATACAAGATTTAATTATTTAATAATCACATTTTGGTTTCGGACACAATATTTGAGGCCCGGTAGCACCAATGTATCCTGAATTCTTATGTTCTTACATTTGTTGACTATAATTGGAGATAATTTGTGTTTGAATATCAGCTTTTTGACGAATTTTTGGGAATAAGAGATACTTAAATGATTCATTTCTATAACTACAAGGATATTACGCTAAAGGGCACTACGTTTTACTACGCTAAAAGGTCACTACATTACAAATACGACGACTACATTAGGCCACAAGATACCACTACAGGAGTACTAAAGTAAAAATTTATCTAGTTTACTGGTCTTTTAGCAAATTAATAATCTAAATCGGATAAAAATAATAAATCAATTTAATCACAAAAATTACATATACCATAGTAAAAATTAACTAATTAATATTTTTTTAACAACTAATAACAATTTCTCTATTTTACAAATTTTTTTAGCACACTAATACTATAGTCCGGATAAAACATAACAAATTAGTTAAATCGCCAAACAATCACAAAATAACATAGAGCACATAAAAAACAACTAACATGCATTTTTTATACAAGTTTTAGCAAAAACTATGTCGAAATACCTCAATTTAAGGTTTTTAGAAAGTCGAAGATTTTGTGATTTTGAGCCGAAACAACCAACAACGTCCTAGATAACTCCGTAGCTAGCACGTGGGACTGAGAATCTTTACTTTATGTGGGACGGGTGGGTTCCACTCAAGCTTTTTGGGTTTAAATGGGGACAGTTAGATTTTTCAATTTGGTTGGGAGGGGGGGGACCATTTCTGTTTTGGGGAAGGGAAGCAGACGATATATTTATATATATATAGCGTCTTTTGTTAAGACGCTATAATATAACGTCTTAACAAAAGACGCTATATTTTCCCGCTTATATTAATTCAAGTATAGCGTCTTTTAAAAAGACGCTATATATATTTTGGTCACTAACTTTTTTTTTCACACATTTCGGTCATTTGAGTCCAAAAGAACCACATTTTGGTTCCGGACTCCTATATTCAGCTACTATATCATGGCACGCATGTAAAAATAGCACGGGTTAGCCACTTTTCGGACTGGTCATTCAAAAATAGCAGCGTTTGCAAAGTAATTGAAAAACAGCCATTGTTTTGCTCCAACAGGGACTGGTCCAGCATAATATACTGGAGATCGGTGCACCTGGGTATGAACTTCCAGCATATTATGCTGGAACTCCAACACGCGGAAAGTTCCAGCATAATATACTAGAGATTGGAGCACCTGTGTATGAACTTCCAGCATATTATACAGGACCGGTATATTATACTGGAACTCTAGTATATTATGCTGGAGTTCCAATATACTTATGCTGGAACTCCATTATAATATGCTGGAGTTCCAGTATACTTATGCTGGAACTCCATTATAATATACTGGAGTTTTAGTATACTTATGTTGGAACTCCACTATATTATGCTGGAGTATTTTTCGAATTTTGAACAATGTTTTCGTTCAAATTTATCTTTACATGAAAAGAGGCTACATTTTTGATTATTTTTGAAACTGTGGCTATTTTTGAATGACCACTTATAAATCTAACTATTTTTGAATTTCTCTCGCATGAAATGCAAAAAATAGTTACCAGATTTGGTTCTGTACATTCTAGAATGTTTTTAATCATTCATGCTATGTTGCTTATCTTTTCACCTTATAACCTGTACCATGCAATCTTATACCAACTTTTTTACTTTCAAAAAACTCAACATAAAGTATCTATATCCATGTCACATCCGACGCGGGCACATTAAATGAAATATCCATGCAATATAGTTGTCTGCCAATAACAACTATAACAACAAATCCAGTATAATGCCACATATAGTATAGTGTGTACGCAGCCTTACCCCTACCTTGTGGAGATAGAGAGGTTATTTTCAATAGACCATCGGCTCATAAAAACATAAGCACCACATTAAAGAAGAGAAAAAGACATTATTTTTCTCCTAGATACAAACTGCTTGTGAAGTTAACATCCAAATGGCATGTCATTTCACACGAGTAGAAGAATGTTTCATGCCTATGACACCATTATGCAAAAGGCAATAAGAAAGTTCTATACAGAGTCCAAGATGCCGCGCAAGAGTCAGGGACCTATGTATGTAACAATTAAGGTAAAATTTGTTGAGTCAAATTACTCCAAACATCTAAAAAGAATCACAAATAAGTTTGGAACAGATCTGGACATTGACATAAACAATTGAATTCAAGAAAAGAAATTGTGAGCACTCAAATTTTGTAGTATTTAACATCTCTTGAAAAACTGAATGACAGCCATATGTTTTCAGCCTCACCGTCTCGCCCTAACTTACCAAGTTTCATATGCCAATCAGGAGAGGTTTTTGAGAGAATCTTCTCAAGCATCTTACTGGCATAATCATCAACTTATCATTTATATACTGAGGTCTGATAGCCAAAGGAGCAAAGCTATACATACTTTTGCTTTTTCTGTCTCTTTCTATTTTAAGAGAACTTTTCATAATAAACTCGAGGGATTAGACGTAGGTTATAGGAGCTTATTCAAGGTATTGGCATTTCAAGGACCAACACTTGCTTTTATAGAAACCACTGGCGCACGGAAGGAACTGCGACTAATCAAATGAGAATCTAGAAACAAAACTATGACCGTGATATCGTCATGAAAATGTCGCCTCACTCCTCTATCTATCCTTTTCAGGTCCGCGTATCTCATTTCTCTTTTCTTTGCTGCTTCCTGAAGAGCAGCTTTTACGAGTTTTCTAGCAATTCCCTGTACAAATTTGTAAATGTTAGTTTTAGTAGAGAAAACAGCTGACACAGTAATTTAATGCAAGTTCCAACAGTCAGTCAATCGCTGTTCTTTGAAGTAGACAGGTCATGTATAAAACAAAACTTACATGCTCAACAGCACAAATAGTCATGATCGAATATGCAAGAATCTAGTCTTGCTGTCTAGTGAACACAGTACACAAGTATAAGCATACATGTTGACAATGGCGGAGCCAGAATTTTCACCAAGGGGTGTCAAGATTATGACTATAATCTATGTCGCGCAGATTCTCCAAAACGGCTGCCGCACCCATGTCGGATCCTCCAAAAATACACTATGTTTGGAGGATCCGATACGCACCCATCGATATTTTCGGAGAGCCCGAGCAACATAGACTATAATATGTATTGTTTTTGATAAGTAAATAAAAATAATACATATATAATTCATAATCTCAAGTTCTCTTTGTAATCATTGGTAAAGGAATGCCTGCTACTTCCTTTTCTCTTTAGGTAAAAAACCAAAAACAAGAAAGTGATATCCCTCTCCTTTCCTCTCCTCTCCTTTCTTTTCTTTTGCAAGGTCTCTGTTTCTTTTTCCCTTCATTGCAATCTAAAACATCTTTAAATGCTATTAATCTAAGGTTTAATCATGAAAGTGGCTTGTTAAACTTTTTTTTAATAGGTAAAGTTTTTAAAAATGTACCAAGATGGTACACCAGAATACAAACAACTGGTCCTTACATCCCCAAGAAATCACACAACTCTATGAACTGAGTTAAATTTTCAAAACTACTATTCCTACACCAAAGATAAAGATTCTACAAGCATCTACTCTTAATAAAAGAAACATGGGATTTTTTATTAACTTGTTAACTAATCTCATTTTTAATTTTATATATTTCTTGTTTCGTCCAAGTTTTTAAACACAGATAAATATCTCAAAGCACACAAAAAGCAGATTTACTAAAGAAATTCAGATTCCTTCCTAACTCACAGATAACACAATGCTGTATTCTCCGAGGATTGCGGAACAGGAAAAGGTCTACTAAGAGAGAGAATTAAACTAGATAAAATCGTAACAGCTACATGCAGTCATCGTAACATATCTCTCTCTCTCTCTCTCCTTCCCTCCCTCCCTCCCTCTTTCTCTCTCTCGCTCTCGTTAACAAATGAGAATGATATGATAACAAGAAAAAATAGAAGATTTGACAAACAAGGAGATTCTTACTTATCAAAAGAAATGAGGGTAATCTTACATGGTGCTCACAACTACTGACAATGTCCACGGCCTCTTGATTGCTTAGATGCTCCCATAAGCCGTCAGAAGCAAATATGAGAAACTGATCTTCTGGAAGGAGCTTCTGTACAAATATTGATGGCTCAGCTAGGAGAATGGGCTTCCGGAAGGATCCAGGAAATCGAAATTTAGGGAGCAAAGGCTCTCTGTTAAACTCTGCTCTCTTCAAATATGCATCACCAATTGATCTTGACACCTGCAAGTGCATTAAAATTTTAGCAATAATACTATCGAGTTGATATCATCTGCTTCACACAGCTCAGATAACTGTAATGAATAATCTCACGGTGAGTGATATAACATGGAACTTAAATACCTGTATAATTCCCTTAACGCGCCAAACCTTGTGCTTTAAAACTACTACATGCGGATCATCAGGATGCAGTGAACGCAGTTCCTCACGGACAGATGCCAAACTCGCATTGTGTTCAGAAGACAATTGAATTGCTTTGACCTCTTTCATAGCCCTCTCCCGTTTCCCTAACACCGCACGAGAATCTCCAGCATTTGCGATGTATAATGTCCCACTGCATATAATACCCACTAAACAGCATGATCCCGCAGAAGCAATATGGGGTTTAGTTTGCCATTGCTTTCTCACTAGAGAAAGGAACTCCTCTTCTGTTTCCAAATATGCCTTGCTTATAACATCGGCTGACATAACTTGATCCTCTGAGGTGAATTCTGCATCACATATAGCTGTCAAGTAAGTAACATATGTATCAGTAATCTTCAAACAGTATAAAAGAGTGCGTACATGTCAAAGGAGAGAGAGAATCATAAAGCTTTCTTCCCTCAAACTTTTCTTTGCTGGGGGAGGGGAAAGTGGGCAACCAGGGAGCGAGGATGATCTAATCCTAATTTACGAATAAGCCTGATGGCTTTAACAAACTTTTCTATGACAAATTACATGCAACGACAACAGCCCAATGAGATCCCACAAGTGGGGTTTGGGGAGGGTAGTGTATACGCAGACCTTACCCCTACTCCGGAGGAGTAGAGAGGCTGTTTCCGGTTAATGACAAAGTACATGAGCGAAGAAAATCATACATGTACATTGGTGCTATATGTGTAGATGTGAAAAGCATCGGCATACAGCAGTGTGCTTGTAGTGGGTGGTCTTCAAATTAATTTGGAGAACAAATGGGTGATGTGACAAGCACAATAATGGAGGTATTGTTTAGTTGGGTTTTCAGAAGTAGGAATAGAAGACCATCAAAATAGGATTCCCCCCCCCCCCCCCCAAAACCCAAGCGCTTATGTGGGTAGTTTGGAAGGAGAGAAATAAAAAAGGCATTTGACGCGGTTGAAAATGATTTTATGTATTTGAGGAATAGCCTCTAATCTCTGGTTTCCTTTTGGTGCACCCTCGAGTTCCCAGTTTGTATAGATAATTGGATGAGCTTTGTATAGAACATTGTTTTACTGTAGGTTCTCTACTTTCTGGCATACAGCTTGTACATGTGCATTTCGCCAACATGAAATTATTTACCTTATAAAAGAATTATACGAGAGAAGAGATCTACTATCGGAGGACGGAGGATGCCCTCTCATACAAGCAAACTCTAGAATTTAATCTAAAGTCCAGTTTATAGATGTGTTGCACTCAAAGTCCATAAGCGGGAGGCTACAAGGCATTTTAGGAAGTGCCTTCCATTCAGTTTTCTCCTCTTTACATATTCATGTGCTAGAACTTTAAGATTTTTTAACGTTGTTGTCCTTATACCGGATGGTGAGAACACAAGTTTTCCAGTATAGGATTAGATGTTAATGCTCCTGCTGCACCTGAAGAAGCAGCGGTGTAGCATCCCTGGGAGGTAGGGGCGTAGGTCGGGTAGAGGCCATGGTCAAGGTAGGAATTGAGGGAATGGCGCAGCAAGAGCTAAGGCTCCCAGAGCTGCTAAGCAGGAGGAGCTAGTTCTCAAGGAGTAGCAGGTGCCAATTGCTCTGATTCCGGCAGTTTTACCAGAGGGGCTTCAGGAGCGTCTCCTAGGGTGGATCAGGTCATTAAGCAATTGCCCTGAAATGCAGCTGATCAAGCAGAGAGAGTCTGAGGTTGGCTCAAGGAGGGGATAGAAATGCCAGGCCTAACAGGCATTGAGGGGGGTGTGTTGTAGTGATGTGCGAGCTATTGAGCATGTAACTTAAGGTTGGCTCAAGGAGGGGATAGAAATGCCAGGCCTAACAGGCATTGAGGGGGTGCGTTGTAACTTACCATTTCTAAAGTAAACGCTATGATGACCCTCATCAGTTTGTGGATGACATCCATAAGGCATTAGCGGTGGTGCGTTGCAGTAATGTGCGAGCTATTGATCTTGTAACTTACCAGCTGAGGCAGAGATGTTACCTATTCATGGGCTACCACCTTCTCCACCAGTCCCCTTGCAGGGCTTTTACCTTTGACCTGGGATGAGTTCGCTACAACTTTTAGATTTCTGCCTATGGTTTTTTTTTTTTTTTTTGGAGTAAGATTTTTGCCTATGGATCTTAAACCAAACCAAAGGGACTTGTCATGCTTCATAATAGACCTCAATTCTCCCTAGGTCATACAACATAGAGTCGTCATGAAGGCTTCACATTTAGTAATACAATATTTGCGGACAAGGAACATGTAAGATCTACATTGCTGACCCTAACACCATGAGCATCGTCTCTAATGCAAGGTTTATGTCTTTCATTAATTTCTTTCCAATCAGGTACATATAAAGGAAAAACAATCCAGATCTTTCTCGGGCTTTTGGCTAAGATCAAGTGTAGTAAAGGAACGAACAATCCTTAATCTAATCCATACGGATATATATCATCTTAAAAGGAAATTATTGCTAACAACATTAATTGACCCGTCTAAAATTCATCAGAACCTTATAGATGTTGGCAGCAATGGCTATTAAAATTCGATCTTTCCTCTGTTATAATTGTTCCTTGCAGCAAGTTTATTGGAAAAGCTGAACAAAAATCTTACGAAGGCCTTTTAGTACTGAAACGAAGACCCAAATTCAGCATTTCCCCATCTTTGGACAAGGAATCTAAGATCAGATATTTATTCATAGTTGAACACTTGAACCTCACACAATTCGCTTCATCTCTAATCAAACATCCACTATTTCCTCTATCAATCCTTTCTTCAGGTGATTTAGAAAGGAAAGGACATTCTTCTATCAAGTAATTCATATGGCCAGGATACAGAGCTGACTTTAGTTCTCTGTCACAACTTGCAAACAGCCAAACACACACCTAAAGGGGAGTAATTCCCAACAAGAGAGAGATGCCACATGTCCCAAATCAATCATAGCCTTGAACGCATCAGAAATTACCAGAGAGCTATCCTAAGTGTAATATTAGTATCTTTTTTTATATAATCAGAACCAGAATCCTGCTTCTACAAGTTCTCTTTCAGTAAGGGCATTTTAAACAAGAATGATAGCATAGTGAAAGCATTTGACCTAATCCTTCATCATAAATGACAAGAAGAACTTACTCTTTAATCTTATCCAAAAAACAATGAAGTTAACTACAGTGTTTTATCAAATGTGAAAAGCATTAAAAAAAAAAGGCAAAGTTTGTTGGAACTTGGAACTTTCAACAACAACAGACCCAGTATATTCCCACAGGTGAGGTCCGAGGAGGGTAGTGTGGGACTTTACCCTAGGGGTGGGCATAATACCGGCCGAACCATGAATTTCGGTTTTTCGGTTTCGTTTTAATCGGTTATTCGCTCGGTGTGCGGTTTTTAAATTATTAAATTTCGGTATTCGGTGCGGTTTACGGTTTTGGTGTTCCGGTTTTCGGTTAAACCGAAAAACCAAAATTTTGGGATGCAATTGTAATAAACCTCCAGAAGTTGTTCTCGTTGAGCTCTTTGATAATTCCAAGCAACTAGTAAGAGATGCAATTGTAGACAATTTCATGACCAATAATAGTTAGTCCGGTACTCGACTTGGTGGTGTGATTGTTGACATGTATAGTGACAAAATGATAGAAGTAGCAACTGAACTTGGTTTACCGAGCTACGTATTCTTCACTTCTAGTGTTGCTTTGCTTGGCCTCATGTTTTATGCACAGACGCTTAAAGATGATCACGATCGTGACATCTCCGATTTAAGGATTCGGACACGTTACTGCCCATTTCGACTTACTTAAATCCTCTTCCCGCTAAGGTTTTGCCAAGTGCCATGCTGGATAAAGATGGTCGTTTGCATCTACCACTGTCTACTGCTCGAATGATACGACAAGCAAAAGGGATCATAGTTAATACTTTCTTAGAGCTTGAGCCACATCCAATTAAATCTCTGGGTAATGAAAATGGGGTTCCGCCTTTATACCCAGTTAGGCCTATAATCAACTTGAATCAAGAACTTTGAAAACCGAACCTTGAAAAAATCGTTAATAACCGAAAAACTAAACCGGAAATAACCGAACCGAACCTTGAAAAAACCGCATCGAACCGTAAATACTTTGGTTTGATTTGGTTATTAATATTACAAAACTGATAAACCGAAACGTACTTTCATAATAACCAACCGAACCAACCGACGCCCACCCCTACTTTACCCCAACCTAGCAAAGGTAGAGAGATTGTTTCCAATAGACCCTGGGCTCAGAAAGGGTGAGAAAAGAAGAAGAAGGAAAAGAAGGAGGGGGAGGAGGAGAAAAGGATAGAAAAGGAAGACAGACGAAAAAGAGGGAGAAAAAGAATAAGTAGTACTCCCTCTGTTCCAGTTTATGTGAACCTATTTCCTTTTTGGTCTGTTCCAAAAAGAATGACCCCTTTCTAAATTTGGTAACAATTTAGCTTAAACTTACAATTTTACCCTTAATGAGAAACTTTTATTACCATACAAATACTCTGGGCCCTTTTTTGACTTGTTTAAGACCACAAATTCCAAAAGTCTTCATTTTTTCTTAAGCTCCGTGCCCAGTCAAACAGTTCACATAAATTGGAATGGAGGGAGTACCAAATAGTAACAACATGGAGTACAATACCTGAGGCGAACTAAATCACATGACGTAATAAAGATCTAAGAATATGAAGGAGCATGAGTGCTACTAAAACTACTGGTAGGAAAATGAGAAACTTTCAACTACCTACTAACATTCTACCCTAATACTCGACCTCCACACTCTCCTATCAAGGGTCATGTCATCAGTAAGCTAAGCAGCGTCATGTCCTACCTAATCACCTCTCCCCAGTACTTCTTTGGCCTACTCGACCTTTCTCAAACCCGCCATGGCCAACCTCTCACACCTCCTAACGAGAGCATCAATGCTTCTCCTCTTAACGTACCCGAACCATCTCATCCTCGACTCCCGCATCTTGTCCTCCACGGAGGCCACTCCCACTTTGCCCCGAACAACTTCATTCCTAATCTTATCTCTCCTGGTACACCCACACATCTATCTCAACATCCTCATTTCTGCTTCTTTCATCTTTGCATATGGGAGTTCTTGACTGGCCAACACTCATCCCCATACAGCATAGTAGGTCGAATCACCACTCGGTAAAATTTACCCTTAAGTCTTGGCGACACATTCTTATCACATAAAACACCAGATGCGAGCCTCCATTTCATCCATCCCGCTCTAATGCGATGTGCGACATCTTCGTCAATCTCCTCATTACCTTGGACAATAGCCCAGAGATACTTGAAACTACCTCTCTTGGGATAACTTGAGCATCAAGCTGAACATCCACGTCTGTTTCATGAGTCCTGTCATTGAATTTGCACTCCAAGTGTTCTGTTTTGGTCCTGCTCAACTTGAAACCTTTAGACTCCTCTGTCTTCAAACCTCCAATCGCATTAACCCCGTCTCGCGTCTCGTCGATCAACACTATATCATCAGCAAATAGCATGAACCAAGGCACCTCCCCTTAGATGTGTCAAGTCAGCATGTCCATCGCCAAGACCAATAAAAACGGGCTAAGAGTCGATCCCTAGTGCAGCCCCATCACAACAGGGAAGTGCTCCGAGTCACCTTCCACAATCTATCACCCGAGTCTTAGCACCATCATACATATTCTTAATCACCCCAGTGTACGCTGCCGGAACGCCGCTAACCTCCAAAAACCTCCATAGAACCTCCCTCGGAACTCTATCGTACACTTTTTCAGCACATAGTGCAAATAAAGCATGCTTCACTGAAGAAAAGGGTGTGCGTACATGTGTCTTTTGACGCCCTATTCAAGAGCCCCTGGCCACTAAGGCACACACATTAGCACCTTGGTGTTGCTCGGACCCTTCAAAATCCCTACCGCATCCATGCCGATCCAACACAATTTAGGTGTAGGTGTGGGTGTGGGTGAAAATCCACACAAAATTTGGTCAACTTGCCTTGGGTCCTTTGACTACATCTGTGACCAAGAAGTACTGATCGGTTATTTGGTTTGACTTTTGGGTTTATGTCATATATATAGTTATAGAACGCTTTGTTATTACACGAGATATCTTATGAATAAAATATTAGGTGTTTAAATTTTATTAATTTTAGTTCAATAACTTGTATTGATCGTCATAATAATAGTTATTGGCTGTATTACAGCACCCCTATGCGCATTCAGATCCATACCCTTGAATCCTAAAAAATATGTGATGAAGAATCCAATATCGGGTACCCGCACCCAGTTTGAGGCTCCGATCAACATAGAATGAAGCACATTCTAAATCCCGCGAAGCACTCAACCTATACACCTAGATTTAGTGTCTAACCACACTAAACAACACATTTTTTTGATAAGATGCAACAAAACATTTAACAAAGATTTAATACACTAGGAAAGAGCTACATAATTGGGAATACATGTGTGTCATATATGAGTGTGCATGTACAGAATAGTCATCACAGTACCTAGAGTACGTAAGTAGAAGATAAGTCATGTTTCAGAAGCGCATATATGTAAGTCACAAATGAAATGCCACAGATACCGTAGATCTTTAAAGCATAGGAAAGAAGAAAAAGCATACTCTTAACGTTCTTGAACAGGCGGTCATTTATAAACCGGGCAGCTTCTGCACCTGCATGGCCATCATATATTCCCACAAAGGTGCCCTGGAGACCTGTGTTGACCGAACTCATCGGCCCCGATTCAAGCTGACTGTGATCCTCCAGTGTATTATTCGCTTGAATTACAGCCATCGAGAACTCCCCATTAACATGGTGCCCCGAATCTTTATACCACCACAATCCATCAACACTGCCGTCCGGGTCTCGGTCTCCTCCTCTACTATTGCTATTTTCACCTTCATTATCTATAGAAGGCTTCCAACAAGGGTAAACAAACTTTTTCCATGTAGTTGTCACCATCTCTTTGCATGTTACTGTTATTATGACTCACCCAAATGATCGAGCAATTGAGTACTTGCCAAACCAAGATTACTACAAAATCCTAACCCCAGTTTTATAAAGCTTGCCAAAAGTTCCAGACTTTGCGTATATATCAAGCAATGCAACAACCCAAATGATACAGCAATCAAATACCTATGTTGTAAATCTTGTGAAAAGTTCCAAGAAATGCATACCATTAATCCGCATACCAAGAAAGCATTAGCTACCTAAATAAATGATATACCCAAAGCCTGCATTACAGAGATAATAAATAAGCAATTGAGACTAAAAAGATAATGGGGTTTCAAGATTATGCACAATATAGAGACCAACCTATGCAAGCACAATTAATCTGCATACCTACATAAACAAGAACAATCTAAACAATGATGTACCCAAAAACTGCATTAAATTGAACGATTTAAGACTAAAACAAATAATACGTATTTTAATTTTCAAGATTATTATACATAGAATATAGAAATCAAATACAGAAAAGAATTGCACATTCAAATATCAAAATTGGATATTACATTGAATACCTTTGTACCAGAGATGCCCAATTGAGGTGGCAATGGAAGACCAAGACCCCTTTATTAGATTTTGATTATTAAAATAAAAAGAATGGATTTTCTCTTGCGACGAAAGAGAAAAATTGTTTCTTTACAATGGGGAAAAGGGTGATAGACAGAGAGAGGGAGGGGGTGGGGGTGTTGAGGAGAAAAAATGGGGTTGGGGTTGGGGGGCTGGGGGTGGGGTGGAGTGTTCTTTTGGTTTTTCTTTGTTGTAAAGAAGCTGATGCACAAAAACTAAAAAGAAAAAAAAAAAGTAATTGGGTTTTTTGACTTCCCTTTTCGGTTAAAATATCATGGTATAGCCAGTTTTCACACTGGTCAATGAAAAATAGCCAGCGTTTATCAAGTCAATGAAAAATAGCCACTATTTTGTTGCAACAGGGACCGGTCCAGTATAATATACGGGAGTTCTGGTGCATTTGTGTACGAATTCCAGCATATTATGCTGGACCGGTATACTTTGCTAACTCCTGTAAAATTTACGGGAGACTAGAGCACCAGTGCTCCAAACTCCAGTATATTATACTGGACAATTATACTTGCTGGAACTCCCGTAAAATTTGCGGGAGTTCCAGCATAATTATGCTTGAACTCCCGTAAAATTTACGGGAGTTCCAGCATAGTTATCCTGGAACTCCCGTAAAATTTACGGGAGTTCAAGCATACTTATGCTGGAACTCCCGTAAAATTTGCGGGCGTATTTTTCCGGATTTTGAACAGTGTTTTCGCTCAGATTTAAAGTGGCTAAATTTCGATGACTTTTGAAACTTGGCTATTTTTCAACGACCAGTGGTAAATCTGGCTATTTTTGAATTTCTCCCCCCTTTTCGCCCTGCATATTGGACTTTCCGTTTAGCGTTTGGACTGGAAAGCAATTTAGCCCACAGACTTCGATGAACATAGTAGGCTTTTAACATATTTGACCAACAACAACCACCATGTAAAATTTCACAATTGGGGTCTGGAGAGGATAGTGTGTATGCAGACCTTACACCTATCATAAAAGAGTAGAAAGGTTGTTTCCGACAGACCCCCGACTCAAGAAGACGAAAAAAGATAATATATCAATACCATCAACAGAAACTATAGACACGGCTATTATTTTCCATGGCAGTTATATTGTATAAAAACCCCAATATTCACAACATTCACTTATAGCTTTGTAACAATGGCGCGAATTTTGTGTGCACACATGTCACGACCCAAACAGAAAGGCCGCGATGGGCACCCGGTGCCTTACTCAACCGAGTACCAACGTAACATATCTTTCTTATCATACTATCATGGGTAAATGAGCTAGAAAACCCGTCATGAGATAACAAGAATAAAACATAAGGGGATACTCAATATATGATGACCCAACATTACTTATATATGTGAGATACAGGCCTATAAGGTCGACATGACCATTTGTAAACTCAAAACATAGGCCGACAAGGCCATACAAGTATCCATACACCTGACATCTGTCTACAAGCCTCTAAGAGTACATAAAATCATAAAGGTTGGGACACGGCCCCGCCATACCAATCAATACCTATCCAAAGCATACTGACCAAATAGGCAACACCGGAGCAAGTGGAGTGCACCAACACTTCCGCTGAGCTGATAGCCTACTTGGAGGACTGTCAACCTATCAATCGGGACCTGCGGGCATGAAACGCAGCATCCCCAGGCAAAAGGGACGTCAGTACGAATAAAGTATTGAGTATGTAAGGCAGGAAAGCATAAACAAGAACAGTAATGTAAAGAGAGATAGAGGAGATACAACCTGTAACATCTGAGTGCCTCTGAGCTACTGACATGAAATGCATAATGCATATATATACATAAGCTTTTAAAAACATGCGCCTCTGTGGGCATCATCATTATCATATCATACCCGGCCTCAAAGAAAACTCGGTAAAAACGTACCCGGCCATCATAAGGCTCGGTAGAATCGTACCCGGCCACGTGGAGCTCGGTAAACCCAACTAATCAGTGGTTGCACAATAGGTGCCATACCTGGCCGGCTATAGCGCGGCTCGGTAGAGTAAAGTAGATACATATATAATGCATGCTGGACTCATGGAGTCACGTTCTAAACCTTTTGGAGTGACATAAGGTCATTGCACCATCGATTAACACTATGGACATCATACCGTCAATATGAACTTCACTAGGACTCAACGATCATATATACTTTCTTGGAATAACTTTGTAAGGAAAGAATAACATGGCCAACCTTAGTTGCTAGGAGTAGATTCATTATGAAATAGCGTATCGTTTATGTTCGTTTCACTTTAGATCATGCCAAAAGAACGAAGGAAGAGCCTTAACATACCTTAAACATGTTGAGTCCTTAATACCTTCCAAGCAACTCTTCAAACAAGTCAACTCGATCTATCATAGCATAAGGAGATTCAAAATCAGTGTTGAACAAAGGCTAAGTCTGTAACTTAAGCTAGTAACTCGTCTACGTAAATTCGGGCAGCATCTCCCTTGTAACAAGGGACTCCTCCAATACCATATACCAACAACAACAGCCAGGGAAGTCCAGCAACCTATAAATATCAATAACAAGACACCATATAACAACAACAAGTCACAACTACTTCACGACGAGCGGCAAGCTCCGATTGGAATCCGTATAACCCATATCACCCCTTATAGACTTCTTACATTAATTTAACAGTATCATTAACATGATAATGAAGTCATTCATCAATGATTCTATCCTTATACCATATATTTATAACAAAGGAAACAATCCTCAACTCCAGTTATCTTCAATTAGTAGCTTTATTCACTAGTTCATGTCTACTCCATCCATTTAACTTAATCAACATCAAGATAACCTTAAGCACATGCAAGAACACAATACACACAACTCCTATAGTAACTTCAAGTCGAAATCCAAGTTATATTCAGCTCACAACAACCCTCAATAGCAATACAACACCATAGAAGTGACTTAAGCTAATCCAAGTACTATCTTGTAGTTTATCATCCTAACAACTTAACCAACATACAAGCAAGCTTAAGCACAATTAGTAGGTTGTTATACTCACCTCAGAAAGCAGCAACAACTTAGAATTTCATCCAAATACAGCCCACAACAATCCTCAATGACAACACAACCTCAAAGAGGTGTTGTTCTTCACTAGAACTAAGTTTTGATGTTGAAATATGGTGTAATCACTTTGGAATCACTTCAAACCCTTGTGGTATATGTTTAGGAGGGTTAGGAGAAGTTTGGAGACGAAGTTTAGTTGAAAAATGAGCAAAAATAGGCGTCCAAATCGTTTATAAATTGAAGTAGGTCAACCACCGCCTAAGTGGGTCCCATTGGGAGCTGCTTGCGCGGTCTCGCAAAAACACGAATATCTCTCTACTCCGATGTCGTATTGACAACCAGTTTAATGCGTTGGAAAATAGACTTGTATATCTTCGATTGGCAGGTAGATCATCCCCTAATTCGAAGTATATTGGGAGAAAAGCTCAGTTACATTTGACCTAATTTTCAACACATTTATGAATGGAACTTGTGATGACCTTTGCTAACTTTTGTTCCATAACTCGTTTGACTTAAAAACATAACACACGACTATCATACGACTACAATAACTCATAACTTAACCTCCTCATCATGTTAATCACCCTAGTCTCACCCCAAAAGAATATGTTATAACATTCCAAACTTGTCGATTTTCGACGAAACTTATTTTCTTCAATTCGTTTAGTGACTAAGCTTTTCAACCCTTTTGGTACTTGTTATTCATGATCTTAAATATTTGTAACCTCCAAGGTAACATGATTAACTTACTTTATTTGCTTCCAAATATAATCTCATTTTCGAGCTTACATCAATGACTTACGACGTACTCTCACATATGAAAACTTGGGGTGTAACAACACACATATATTATATGTGTATAAGATGTCAATATTCATTTATATATCAATCGATGAAGCTATCAAAATCTCTATTACAAGTTATGTTTTAATACAACAACAACATACTCAGTATTATCCCACACCGTGGGATTTGGGGAGGGTGTGTATACGCAGACCTTACCCCTACCTTGTGAGGATAGAGAGGATGTTTCCAATAGACCTCAGCTCAGGAAAGCATAAGCACCACATTAATGAAAATATAGACAAGAAAGGGCAGCACCAAAAAGCCATAAAAAGCATAATAAAAATAACAAGATAGTAAGGTGATCAACAATGAAAGAAAATAGCGGTTAGTCATAAAATCCTACTACCAACAGAAATCGAGATTGCGTGTCAATACTACTGTTATGAACACCCTAGACTACCTACTCTACTACCGTAATCCTCAACCTTCATACCATCCTATCAAGGGTCATGTCCTCGGTCAGCTAAAGTTGCGTCATGTCTTGCCTAATCACCTCTCCCCACCTCTTCTTTGGCCTACATCTACCTCTCCGTAGGCCCTCCAATGTCAACCTCTCACACCTTCTCACCGGGGCATCTGTGCTCCTCCTCCTCACATGACCAAACCACCTAAGTCGTGCTTCCTGCATCTTGTCCTCAATAGCGGTCACACCCACCTTGTCGCGAATAACCTCATTTCTGATCCTATCTAACCTGGTGTGCCCGCAACCATCTCAACATCCTCATCTCTTCTACCTTCATCTTCTGGACATGAGCGATCTTGACTAGCCAACACTCAGCGCCATAAAACATCGTTAGTCTGACCACCACTCTGTAGAACTTACCTTTAAGTTTCAGTGGCACCTTCTTATCACGCAAAACACCATAAGCGAGTCTCTATTTTATCTATCCCGCCCCAATACGATGCGTGATATCTTCATCAATCTCCCCATCCCTTTGAATAATAGACCCAAGGTACTTAAAACTTCCTCTCCTAGGGATGACCTGCGAGTCCAGCCTCACCTCCCCTTCCCCTCCTAGAGTCTCGCCACTGAACTTACACTCCAAGTATTATGTCTTGATCCTGCTCAACTTGAAACCTTTAGACTCCAGGGTCTGCCTCCATACCTCTAATTACGCATTCACACCATCTCGTGTCTCATCAATCAATACAATATCATCTACAAATAGCATGTACCACGGCACCTCCCCTTGGATGTGGCGTGTCAGTACGTCCATCGCCATAGCAAAAAAAAGGGCTGCGTGCCGACCCCTGATGCAACCCCGTCATAATCGAGAAATGGTCGGAGTCCCCACTCACCGTCCTTACTTGGGTCTTTGCTCCATTATACATGTCCTTAATCAACCTAACATAGGCAACAGGTACACCTCTAGTCTCCAAACATCTCTACAAAACCTCTCTCGACTTTATCGTACGCATTTTCTAAGTCGATGAACACCATATGCAAGTCCTTCTTTCTCTCCCTGTACTGCTCCATCAATCTCCTAACAAGGTGGATGGCTTCTATAGTCGAACGCACCGGCATAAACCCAAACTGGTTCTCAGAAATAGACACACTCCTCCTCATCCTTAGCTCTACCACTCTCTCCCAGACTTTCATAATATGGTTAAGCAGCTTGATACCCCGATAGTTATTGCACTTTTGGATATCACCCTTGTTCTTGTATACATAAACCATCGTGCTTCACCTCTACTCTTTGGGCATCTTCTTCGTTCTAAAAATGACATTAAATAACCTAGTGAGCCACTCCAAGCCTGTCTTGCCCTCACTCTTCCAAAACTCCACCGGGATTTCATTTGGCCTGGTCGTTTTGCCCCTCTTCATCTTACGCATAGCCCCCTTAACTTCATTAACTCTAATCCGACTACAATACCCAAAGTCACAACGACTCCCGGAGAGTTCTAAATCACCCAGTAGAATGCTCATGTCCCCCTCCTCGTTCAAGAGACTATGGAAGTAGGTCTGTCATCTCCGACGGATAAGCCCCTCATCCAACAAAACTCTACCTTCTTCGTCCTTGATGCACTTCACTTGGTCCAAGTCATGTGCCTTCCTTTCTCGCACCTTGACTAACCTAAACAACCTCTTATCCCTACCTCAGCCCTCGAGTTCATCATACAAACGACTAAGAGTTATCATCTTGGCTGTCGTAACTACTAGCTTTGCCTCTTTCTTAGCCAACTTATAATGCTCCCTATTCGCCCTCTTCTCCTCCTCGTCTACGCTTTCCACTAGCTTCAGATACGCTGCTTTCTTGGTTTCCACTTTTCCTTGCACCTCTCCATTCCACCACCAGTCTCCCTTGTGACCACCAGAGTAACCCTTTGAAACCCCTAATACCACTCTCGCGGCTTCCATAATGCACTGCGTAATTGTGGTCCACATAGCACTTGCGTCCCCACCACTCTTCCAAGCCCCCATAGTCAACAACTTGACCCCCAAATCCTGTGCTTTAGCTTCCATCAAGGCTCCCGACTTGATCCTATGTTGGTTATACATTTCCTTCTTCCTCCTCTTCCTCGTGATCTCAAGGTTCATAACCAGGACCTATGAAAGGTAGAGAGGTTCTCACTCGGGATGACCTTACAATCCGTGCAAAGACCTCTATTGGACTTCCTGCAGAGTAATAATCAATCTGAGTCTCAGTCACCGAACTCCGGAAGGTGACCAAGTGCTCCCTCTTCTTCGGGAAACTCGAGTTTTCTATCACCAAATCAAATGCTCTAGCAAAGTCCAGCAGAGACGTTCCTCTTCCGTTTCTATCACCAAAACCAAAGCCAACATGCACATCATTATACCCCCTAGACATCGCTCCAATATGGCCGTTAAAATCCCCTCCTATGAAAAGATTCTCGGTATGCGGGATACTACGCGCCATCTCATCCAAATCCTCCCAGAAATGCCTCTTGACTTCCTCATCCAAGCCAACTTGGGGTGCGTACGCACTGATTATGTTCAAAGTAACACCTCCAACAACTAGCTTAATAGTTATCAGCCTGTCATTCACCCTCCTAACCTCCACCACTAGTTCACGGAGGTCCTTATCAACCAAGATACCTACCATGTTCCTGCCCCCCACCCTCCCAGAATACCATAGTTTGAACTTGTCTACATCCCTCGCTTTATCTCCTACCCACCTAGTCTCCTATACACAAGCTCTATTAATTTTCCTTATCTCGAGAATCTTTGCTAACTCTACAGTTTTTCCAGTCAAAGTTATGCACTACCATTGTTAGGTTTATATTAAATTCCTTCATGTCTGTCCACTTCTTTATTAATCACCTTTTGATCCAATTTCTTTATTAATTATTTTACTCTAAAAAAAGAAGAAAGAAAAGGATGCAAAGCGAAGCTAGCTTGTGACAGGGGTCAATTTCATTTGTCAGAAAATAATAATGTGTAAATAAGGCGAAAATAATTTTTTTATTGTATATAACTTATTGAATCCCCTTGACATATGTGAAGATTCTGATTTAATGGCAAAAGCCGCAAGTTTAAATGCTAAGTTTGATATTTAATATTTGTTTGGAGTTGCTTGTATGAATTTCTGACTCTACAATGAACATGAATGAAGTAGCAGACCAAGTCAACAGCCTCGTAACTTTAATCCAATATTAACGAATTCCGCCTTACTGTCATGTCCTTAGTCTTTGACTAAGTACACGTGCGGCACTTGACAACTCGCTCACGATTTTTCAGAACTTTCTCACGTTCTTGCTATGACAAGTCAGCCTTATTACACTAAAGATCACTAAGGAAATGTTAGAACATAGGAGAATTGTGAAAGTGAGCCTTTGTATTAGAGAGAACTTGATTGTTTTGCTTGGTGAGCTACAAATGAATATCCCTCTTTATATAGTAGTCTCCTAGGGGCTAGTGAGTAAATAATAATTATCACACAAGGCCCTTATGTTTTACAAGTAAGTCCTCTAGAATTTTCTACATAGCTAAAATCTTGTAAGGACTTTCCTAGCAATTCCATAGGGTTCTAAGGTCTTCAATGAGAAATCTCCATATTTCTCTAGAACCTTCCCACTTGTGCTAGTCTATTTGATATGTAAGCTTTCCATATGAAAAAAATATATGCCAAGTGGCACCTACGTGGCATGATGATGTGGCGGTCCATGACATTATAATTGTATTTTTTATACCTTTTGATTATATTATCTTGCCAGTACTCTCTCTTGGCTTAACGCAAAAATGCGGAGGAAGTGAGTAGTGCATTGCCAGAGCAAAGTTCATCAACAGCAAAGGACTACCATGAGTCTCTACCAGCACCGTTCATTGGCGTAGAGGAGCTAAAAAAACTGGTATTTGTATAAGGTAGTTATTGGAGAGTTTGTGGCAACTCTTTGTTACTTTACATTGGAGCGATGATCAAAATTAGATATATGAGTGATTAAGTCATGTTTGATGATCCTTGTAGTGGAGTTGGTTTAGCGGCATACTTTTCATTCTTGTCTACTGCACTGCTGGCATTTTTGGTGAGTTTCTCCTTTTTGTTCAGATAGGGATGGCAAATGATCGGCTTGGATCAAACTTAGATGAGTCAAATTGGGTCAATCAAATAAATACGTCATGATCCGATTGTTCATAAGTTACTTGGATCAATGTAAATTGGGTTATGAAAAAAATGGATTGGCTCAAATAATAGGTCATAATCTAACTCGTCCATTGATAAGCTATGCGTCTTTTGTTTGATGATTTGACAAAATTCATAAGGGAAATAGATAAAGAACCCGATACAATTAGTTCCCTTGCGTTCAGAGTAACTAGTCAGATGTATGTTTCAATTCTCAATGAAATCAGATAAGGGAACAGGGAACAAATATGGATCAGTTCCCCTGGTCGTTGTGTAGTCAACTCTACAGTTGTAAAGCAGTTGCATTGTACCATTTGGCAGGTTGTTGCACTGTACCATCTAGCAGCAATACAGCAGCACAACTGTAGCTTGCTAAGGCCAAACTAAAGAACACTTTATTGCATCATCCTTGATGACATCACACAAACATATTATCAACATGAGGCAAGGGATTTCATCTCCCCAACACTTGCAAATCCTAAAATCATATTCTCTCAAGTGCTAGCCACCGCCTCTCTCAAGAACAAAGTTACTACAACCTCAAGGACTAGATCCAAAGATTGAAGATATCTTAAGTCCTTAGGTATGTTGAGTCTTTCTTATTTTGTTCTTCATTTGTAATCCTACACTACTTTCAAGAAGTGTCTTTGTAGGACAGATTTAAACCACTGTTTGGTTTAGTTTCTTGACTATAGTTAGTCAAGGTTTGTTGCTTTATAATATAGTTATTGCACAGGGCTTACAATAGAGTTATTGTAAGGGGTAAGGGATTAAGAGTTTAATTCCTAGATTGCAATAGGTTGTAATCTGAAGTTTGCTTAATCTAGTGAAGTTGAAATCCTACTATGGTAGGTCGTGGTTTTTAATCCCTTGAGCAAGGAGTTTTCCACGTAAATATCGCATGTTCTTTATTTACTGCCGATTTATTGTGGGAACAGATAGAGAAGCTGGTTCCCTATACTATTTGGTTTTACAGTTTGTTGCTTACCATGAAACTGATAGAGAACCTGGTTCTCTATACAGTTTGGTGGACTCTTAGTTTCCATCAATTGGTATCAGAGCAGGTTCTTTCTATAAGACTAACACCTAGAAAGGATCTACATGGCTGCTCCATCAAATTTTGAAGAAGGTCAATCAACCTACAGACCATCAAGATTTCAAGAAATAGTTCATAAAAATGGAGGCATTCCCAAGAAGGGCGGCTCTTGCAGAAACACTAAAGGATGTAATTACTGTCACAAGTGCAGAAATCCAGGACATTTTATCAAAGATTGTCCTCTCCACAAGTAGGACCATTACAAACACAATGTTGACAAGATCGTTAAGAGTAACTCGGCCTCCAATAGGAGGTTCAAGAGAAGAGATGCCACTGATAATATTGTGAAGAAAGCTTTGGCTGCCTGGGGAGATTCCTCTAGTGAATCTGAGGGTTATGATGAACAAGGAGACACCTCCATGATGGCAGTTGAAAGCAAAGCTGCAGAATATGATTCCATATTTGCATTGATGGCAAAATCTGATGAGGATGACGATGAGGTATACTTTCTAGATGTTCAAAGAAATTTGAAGTCTTATTCTAAAAAGAAGCTGGTATCTTTAGCTAATATTTTAATTGATGCTTATCACAACCTCATTAGTGATAAAAATATCTTAACTGAGGAAATCGGAGAGTCTGGTGGTTGTAGTTGTAGATTTGAAGGAAACAGTGGAAGAAACAAAGAAAGAAAATATCCTCTTAAAAAATTCAATGGAAAAATTCATGAACTCCTCTAAAGGAAAGGAAGTGGAAAGTGAGGCACACCTTAAGCTTGAAAATGAACTCAAAAGTGTAGAATTGAGTCTTGTTGTTGAACATGAAAAGAATAGACAACTTCAAGAAGATTTAAGCAGGGTTAAGGGGAAACAGGCAAGGAATCGGGTTCCACAAGGAAAAAGCCCCCTATAACCCACAAAGAAAGTATGTTACTGCGCCTGATAATTGGCTTTGTACTCACCGTGGTAAGATTGGTCATTACAAAGATTCATGTAAAGCAAAGTTTCAGTCCCAACAGAAAAACAAATTTTTTGTTGAAAAAGTTTCTACTACTAAGGAACATGATTCTCTGAAAAAGAAATATGTGATGCCTGCATGGACAAAAAAGAAATTCGCCCCTTCCCTCATTTGTGTAGGCAGTAGTGAAAGGAAGCAGTCGAAAATGGTACATGGATAGTGGCTGCTCTAAAACACATGACTGAAAGTATGGATGATTTCCTTTCACTCAAAGCCCTGCAAAGTGGGAGTGTGTCCTTTGAAAATAGAAAAAAGGGATATATTCTAGGAGTTGAAAAAATTTGGGAAAACACTCACTCACTCAATTGAAAGTGTATTATGTGAATGGCTTGAAATATATCCTATTGAGTGTCTCTCAAATATGCGACAAAGGAAACAAAATGGAGTTCTTGTCAAAGTCTTGCACTGTCACCGATCTAATAACTGTCTGAGTGTCGTTGATGATGATGCTGAACTATGGCACAGAAGATTGGGACATGCAAGCTTTATTCTGTTGAACAAACTGATCAAGAAGGACCTGGTTCGTGGGTTGCCGAAGTCAAATTTCAAAGATCACAAGGTGTGTGATGTATGTGCGCAAGAGAAGCAAGTCAGGTCCTTATTCAACCCAAAGAAGGAAGTGAGAACATCAAGGACACTGGATCTTCTTCATATGGATCTGTGTGAACCTATGAGGATGCCCAGCATAGGAGAAAAGAAGTACATCTTTGTTATTGTTAATGACTATTCAAAGATTCACATGATAAGAATGATCAAGATGGAGAGTATTCAAAGGTTCCTGGAGAGGTCATTAATATGGAAAATGGGAAGGCAGATCTGATGAGTCAGGTCAATGAGTCTAGTGAAGAAGATGTAACAGAACCTCTAGCTGATTCGGAGGAACCTGGTCCCTCTATCACAGCGACTAAAGCAAAAAATAGAGTTGATGATGTTGTGCAAGGCATACCTGATGCTGAGAAGAGAAGTGGTACTCACACTTCCATGGATGCCAAGATGGGTCTCACACGCTGGAACCTGGTCCTTCTCACCCTGAGACTCAGGTGTCTAACTGAAAGCACAAAAGCTCACATCCTCTCCTAAATGTCATCACTCCTCTAGATTCAGGAATTCATACTAGATCAAAGACAAGAAACATGTTTGCTTTCTCAACTTCCTTGTCTCAAACTGAGCCGAGAAACATCAAGTATTCATTGAAAAATGCTGACTGGATTGCTTCCATGCAAGAGGAGCTCCATCAATTTGAGAGGAGCAACGTGTGGAACCTGGTTCCTCTACCCTCATATAGAACTATTATTGGAACTAGGTGGGCATTTAGAAACAAGCTTGATGAATTTGATAATACAATAAGAAATAAAGCCAAGCTGGTGATCCAAGGACTTAATCAAGAAGAGGAGTTGATTATGATGAAACTTTTGCTCCAGTTGCAAGAATG